CAGCAACTTCACTCTGGCTGTACCCTTCTCCAGAACATCACTCAATCTGAGATCATATATACCCAGGATGACTCAAGTATGGAACACATTCGTACAGCATAATGATGTCAACGAGATAAAGTCAGTTGTTCACATGAAAATGCTGGCCCACAGATGGCTCCAACTTCATCCTGCTCCCTACTTGTATGTCTCATAACAATAAAAATGCTTTCAAATGAGCTGATGTAGGTAATAGCTCTTAGCTTGTCAATAAAGTTAGGAATCCTTCACCTTGTCAAACCCTGTGTAAAAAGAAAGAAAGAAAGAAAGAAAGAAGAAGAGAGAGAGAGAGAGAGAGAGAGAGAGAGAAGAGAGAGAGAGAGAGAGAGAGAGAGAGAGAGAGAGTAGAGAGAGAGAGAGAGAGAGAGAGAGTGTGTGTGTGTGTGTGTGTGTGTGTGTGTGTGTGTGTGTGTGTGTGTGTGTGTGTGTGTGTGTGTGTGTGTGTGGTGTGTGTGTGTGTGTGTGTGTGTGTGTTTAAAAGCAGAGGAAGATACAGTTTTGGAATGGTTGGTACTTTTGTTCAATAAATGTATGAAAGAAGGGAAGTACCTAGGGTTTGGCAATAATCACGTATAATTCCTTTATATAAAGGGAAGGAGAACAAAAGAGATTGTAAAAATTATAGGGGAATAAGTTTACCAAGTTCTAGGTAGTAGATTGGTAGACAGCAACCGCCCAGGGAGGTACTACTGCCCTGCCAAGTGAGTGTAAAACGAAATTGTTTTACATGATGGTAGGATTGCTGGTGTTTTTTTTTTCTGTCTCATAAACATGCAAGATTTCAGGTGTCTTGCTACTTCTACTTACACTTAGGTCACACTACACATACATGTACATGCATATACATACACACTCCTCTGGGTTTTCTTCTATTTTCTTTCTAGTTCTTGTTCTTGTTTATTTCCTCTTATCTCCATGGAAAAGTGGAACAGAATTCTTCCTCCGTAAGCCATGCATGTTGTAAGAGGCGACTAAAATGCTGGGAGCAAGGGGCTAGTAACCCCTTCTCCTGTATAAATTACTAAATTTAAAGAGAGAAACTTTCGTTTTTCTTTTTCGGCCACCCTGCCTTGGTGGGATACAGCCAGTTTGTTGAAAGAAAGAAGTTTACCAAGTACAATGGATCCCTGAGTTTCAGAAGCATCGTGTTTCGTGAATTTCGCCTTTCAGCGCCTTTTTTCGGCAAAAAATATTCACGGTTCGTGATTTTATTCACGATTTGGCGGCGGTAAGGCACATTGTGTCCGGCCCTTCTCCCAGCATTAGCTTGCAAACAAAGCCAGCCTCCCTCCCACACCACAGTCAGTGTGGCATTGTTTATGGGCGAGTGACCATCACCTCACGCGTTCATAAGATATATTCCATTCATTTTTGTGCTTGTAACTACTAAATAAGCCACCATGGGCCCAAAGAAAGCTTCTAGTGCCAGCCCTTTGGTAAAGGGCTGAGAGAGAGGGGAGAATGTGCCTTCTTCAGTGATTCTACGGTATGTTACAATACTAAAGCAGCAGGAGTTGATAAATGCTATAGTGCCAGCTAGCAATAAAGTGTAGCATAACAGTGTAGCAAGTAAGTTAAGCCATTAACCCCTTGACTGTCACAACCCCAAATCCTGAGGTGTCTCCTGGTGTTGCAAAATTTAAAAAAAAAAAAAAAAAAAAAAAAAAAAAAAAAAAAAAAAAAAAAAAAAAAAAAAAAAAAAAAATCTTATGAAGTGATAGAGAATCTTTTCCCGATTGTAATGGCACCAAAAGAACAAAATTTGCTGGAAAACTGATGGAATTGCGCTCTCATGAAGTTAGCAACCTCAGCGATATTCACGAATCAGCGATTTCGCCCACTTTGAGCCCTATTTTCAGCTAATTCCATTGTTCCAGTTGATCAAACTCATAGCTATTTCTTTAGAACTCCATTTTTTCTATCGATTAAGTACAAGAAACTGCTCATTTACCAATTTCAACTACCCAATAATGTGGTCAGAAATTTGCAATTTGGCAAATTTCACGAAAATTAAAAAATATGACAATTTCAAAATAGGGTCCAGAATGAACAATGCAGACATTCCTGGCTCTAAAATAACATTTTCTATGTTCATCAGTCACATCTCCAGGCCCCTATGATATTACTTTTGCTTTCTATTCTGAATTTTTATTCAAACAAAAAATAAAATATTTACTGTTATGCAGACTAATGCAATATTGTAATAATTGTATAAATAATGTCAACCCATTCACGACTGCATATTAGAATGGCTACTTGGACATTTATTGGAAAATGACATCATCTGTTTACTTTTGAACATCGGCCAAAATCAAACATTTCCCCTACTTTGAACTCCATTTCAAGGTTCTTTTCATAGTAAAACCAATCAACATCACCTCTATTTCTATAATATGTTTTCCATTCTATCAAATGAGACCAAGAAAACAAGAATACAACCATAAATACTATATGAAAATAGACCACAAAGTCGGCATTTTAATTAAAAAAAAAAAACGGTCAGAGCTTTTTTTTTCTCATTATGCGCTGCGTGCTGCAGGATTTTTTTTTATATGGTGCAAACTGGCCACACAGACCCATTCTCTTACATGTAGGCCTCCCAGCTTTCTCCTGCTTAATTTGAAGCCGCTAGAATTTATGAGTATATATACGTCAAAAATGGTGGCTTGTAAGATGTATATATATGACCAAAACAGTCAAAGGGTTAATCGATAGAAAAATGATTACACGAAACTTTGCTCTTCCACTGTTGTTTGAGGTATATAGGGCGACTTACTAACACCGCTGTCTCTGCTGCCCCCATTCACAACCACTTGTAAGGCTTATCTTTCAGTGGCCCTTATACACCCAACAACAACACAGCACAACAGCACTTGTGACCTACGTAATGACATATTTTATTCATTCTAGAGTATATGTCATGTTTCTATGTTATTAATATTATTTATTATGTCTTTAGATGAATTGTAATAGATCAATAAGCCGCTGAGTTGATATTAGTGCCATATGGAAAGACTTTCTTGTCCTGTCTCCAAAGACACTCCTGCTGCCGCCACAATTCCTAACATACGTAATGACATTTTATTCATACACCAACAAGAGTCTTCAATAAAGGTAAATGTGATGTTATTATTGTTTTATACTTGATGTCTCATTGTTTTTTGCATGTACTGTAAATGTATATTTAATGTAAAAAAAATATTTTTTGTTAATATTTTTGGTCTGGAACGGATTAATTGGATTTCCATTATTTCTTATGGGGAAAATGGATTTGCCAATCGTGAATTTCGCCTTTCAGTGGACTCTCTGGAACGGATTAATCATGAAACTTGGGGGTCCACTGTATACCAGGTAAAGTGGATGGAAGGGTTATTACTGAAACAATTAGAGGTAAGATAGAGAGCAGGATTGCAGATGAACAAGGAGGCTTTAGAATGGGTAAGGGATGTGTAGATCAAGTGTTTAAAATGAAGCATATAAGTGAACAATATTTAGATAAAGGTAGGGAAGTTTTCATTGCATTTATGGATTTAGAAAAGGTTTATGATAGGGTGGATGGGGAAGTACTGTGGCAGATGTTACAAGTGTATGGAATAGGTGGTAAGTTACCAAATGCTCTAAAGAGTTTTTATGAGGATAGTGAGGCTCAGGTTAGGGTGTATAGGAGAGAGGGAGATTACTTTCCAGTAAAAGTAGGCCTTAGACAGGGATGTGTAATGTCACAATGGTTGTTTAACATATTTATAAATGGAGTTGTAAAAGAAGTAAATGCTAGAGTGTTGGGAAGAGGGGTGGCATTAAATTATGGGGAATCAAATACAAAATGGGAGTTGACACAGTTACTTTTTGCTGATAATACTGTGCTTTTGGGAGATTCTAAAGAGAAGTTATGAAGGGTAGTGGATGAGTCTGGGAGGGCGTGTAAAGAAAGATGGATAAGAGTAAGGTGATGAGGGTATCAAGCAAGTTAGGTAAAGTAAAACTGGATATCACATTGGAGGGAGGGAGTATGGAAGAAGTGAATGTGTTCAGATATTTGGGAGTAGATTTGTCAGCAGATGGGTTTACGAACGATGAGGGTAACCATAGAATTGATGAAGGAAAAATGGTGAGTGGTGCACTGAGGTATCTGTGGAGACAAAAAACGTTATCTATGGAGGCAAAGAAGGGAATGTATGAGAGTATAGTGGTACCAATACTCTTATATAGGTGTGAAACATGGGTTGTGAATGCTGCAGCGAGGAGGCTGGAGGCAGTGGAGATGTCATATCTAAGGGCAATGTGTGGTGTAAACATTATGCAGAAAATTCACAGTGTGGAAATTTGGAAATTAGGAGGAGGTGTGGAGTTACTAAAAGTATTATTCAGAGGGCTGAAGAGGGGTTGTTGAGGTGGTTTGGTTATGTAAAGAGGATGGAGTAAAACAGAATGACCTGGAGGGTGTATAGATCTATAGTGAAGGGAAGGAAGGGTAGGGGTAATGCTAAGAAAGGATGGAGGGAGGAGGTAAAAGAGGTTTTCTGCGTAAGGGGCCTGGACATGCAGCAGGCATGTGTGCGCATATTAGTTAGGAGTGAATGTAGACAAATGGTTTTTGGGACCTGATGAGTGTAAGCAGGGTAATATTTTGTGAAGGGATTCAGGGAAACTGGTTAGCCAGATCTGAGTCCTGGGGGTGGGAAGTTCAGTGCCTACACTTTAAAGGAGGGGCTTGGGATATTGACTGTTTGAAGTGACATCTAAACTGTCATATCTGGGTGCCTCTGCAAAGACAGTGATATTGTGTGAATGATGGCAAAAGTGTTGAATGATGGTAAAAGTGTTTGTTTCATGTTTGGGTCACCCTGCCTTGGTGGGCGATGACCAACATGTTGAAAAAAAAAAAATCTGTTGTATAATAAAAATTACTAATTTATATTTTACACGGTGATTTGTGATAAAGTTTTTGAAATCCTACTCACCTGCATAACAAGATTCACCAGTGTCTTCACAGAGACCACCAGAGAATCCAGCAGGACAAATGCATTTGTGTCCCACTTCAGTGTAAGCTTCCTGACAGACTCCATTGTTGTGGCATGGATTACCAGCACAGGTCTCACATGATGATATTTCTACCTATAAGAATTTAATAAAAGAGTTAAATTTCATAATGAATTAAAACAATGGTGAATAAAAAATCAATGATTGACAAAACTTCAACATAAACATACTATTAGGTGTTGCTCGTATATCTAATTCATTAACTTGTAGGTGCTGTATACCATTAGTGTTATGAAATACTCTGAACATCAGTTCCCAATGACCCAGCAAAAAAAGGACTTGTCATGCTCATTAGAAATGTGACATAACCAGTTTTCTATGTGAAGTACAGCAGGATGCAGGGAGTCTAATTTCTTGGAAGCTTGTAATGCACGAGTCTAAAACAACAAATGAAGAAGTGGGCACAGTTACAATGTGTATGACAGTGGCAAGTAATGCATTCAACTCTGCTGCAAAAATGGTAGCCAACTCTAGTAAATGTCCTTGACCTATTCCACTCCACCTGGGAATTTGGAATTATTAGTATACAGTGCAGAGTAAGAAAATGTGATTGAAAGTATTCAAGGAAGAGAAAGCTCTAAGTAGACATGCAAGCTTCTGGGTAAGGAAGGAAAAATGAACAAATCTGAATAGTCAGAATTTCCCAAAGAGGGAAGTAAAAGTATATGGGGTGAACATTTCATTTTATTTAGCAAAACTGGATACATCAGCAGTGTGCTATTACCCTATTTTATTGTGTGTGATGGTTATATAATGGGAATAAAAGCTACCCATGTTTTCCCTATCATATTCCATCACAGGATGGGTCACATAGATACATAGTATTAAACTGTGTCAACCTCAGCAGAGCAATGAGGATATCATCAAGTATTCCAATAAGAGGTTCATCAAGTTCATTATCCCTGAAAGCGTTCTTAACATTGATTTATTTCTCACTATAATGAATGTGATATTCCAAACCATGCATACAAAAGTAAAAGTTGGCAACTGCAATACACAGTAAACAGATTCTTACCTTATTTGCTGCAGCTCTCATTAAGTCTATAGCAACAGTACTACCAATCACTAAGCGACTTATGCAGCCTCTGAAACCTGAAGCAAAGCCAGCTTGTTCATGAATTCTAGTGAAATCTGGAACCCCACCCAGGTACAAAGGTTCAAGGAGATCAAGACCAAGGAACCGTCCTTCACTACGACCAGTTATGGGTGCATCATCATCCACTGTCATTGTTCCTGAAGTGAAAGATGTAGATAAACATATAAATTCATAGCAAAGCCTCTTAAAGATAAAGATTTATTTCTTTGTAAAGGTTACAATGTGTAATTATAATTTTGATTTGCTAAGCACAAAGAAAGCCATTATCATGCCGGGGCATTTTGGGCAGACTAATCCTAGTACACAGTAACTACTTAAAACTAGACAAGATAATAGTACATAGTAACTACTTAAAAGTAGACAAGATAATAGTGATTACTTGATTACTTGATTACTTGATTACAATCTTATTTAATCTTAATACTAATGCAAGGTAGTCAAGGTGGAGATTTATAAGAATAATAATCTTGTAGTTGCACATAAAAACAATATTACAATTAATGGTTCAGACAGTAATATTTCATGGACTGGCATATGTTTAATACCCTAGAGGTCACATAATATAACTAATTAGAAGTTGTTTTGGTTGATTAGGTTAGTATTGAGAGATAAGATGATTTTTTAGCAAAGTCCTTAATTTATAAGTGGTCAGAGGATCCTTTACTGGTTCCGGCAGCGAGTTCCAGATCTTTGGACCCTTTATGTGCATAGTGTTTTTGCACAGTGTGAGACTGACAAGGAATGTTGAAGAGTGCTTTATGCTTTAAGTTTCAGTGGAGGGTTTATAGTGGAATTTAACATTCTGTATATGTAGTAGGCTTTTGAAAAGTGGTGGAGTGTGCTGTCCAGCACAGGAGCTGGTAGTCATCTGCAGAGCAGCTTTTTGTTGGGTTATTAAAGGTTTAAGGTGGTTGGCTGTGGTTGATCCCCAGACACAAATACCATAGGTGAGGTAAGGATATATTAAAGAGTGGTACAAGATAAGGAGAGTCGTTTGTGGTATATAGTATCGTATCTTGGAAAGGATGCCTACTGATTTGGAAATTTTCTTGGATATATGTTGAACGTGGGAATTAAATTTAAGATTACAGTCAAGGAGAAGGCCTAGAAATTTACCCTCAGTGTATCTTGATATAGGGGAACCATTTATCGATATATTAAGTTGGATATTTAAGGCTCTGTTTCCAAACAGCATGAAGTATGTTTTGTCTATGTTGAGAGTGAGTTTATTCACCATCATCCAAGTATATATTTTTAGCAGCTCATTGTTTACGGTGTTTCTAAGTATAGCTGGGTTTGAATGGGAGTAGACATAAGTAGTGTCATCTGTGAATAGAACTGGTTTAAGGAGTTGGGATTTATTGGAGAGATCATTGATGTAGATGAGAAAGAGGAGTGGGCCTAGGATACTACCCTGGGGCACTCCAGCAGCTACAGACTGGATAGTGGAGTTGGCTCCATTTGCATATACATACTGGTGTCTATCGTCAAGATAAGATTTTAGGTAATCAAGGGAATGTCCTCTGATGCCGTAATGATTTAGTTTTAGGTGCAGGAGGTTGTGGTTGACTGTATCAAATGCTTTTCGTAGGCCAATGAAGAGCCCCAGAGGATATTCATTTTTATCAAGGGCTGTATATATTAGTTTAAGCATATGTATAATAGCATCATTCATATTTTTTTTTTTTTTGGTCTAAACCCAAACTGGCAGGGGTTAAGTATGTTCTTGGATATATGGTAGGAGTAAAGTCATTTGAGTATTTTTTTTTCGAATATTTTAGAAAGTAAGGGCAAGTCTGATATAGATCTCTAGTTGTTCAAGTCAGTTGGATCACCTCCTTTGAGGATCGGGGTAACCCTTGCTGTCTTTAGTATAGATGGGAAGGTTGAGGATGCTACAGATTTGTTAAACATTGTTACAATAATGGGTGACAGCTCATGTGCAGCTTTTTTATATATGAATGGTGGCAAGTTATCTAGATCACCTGCTTTGTTTTTTAATGATTTAATGATGAGTGAGACTTCAGCAGAATTAGTTGGATTTATATATAGAGTATTTGGGTAGTTGCCAGTGAGGTAGTCTTTTGGCTAGGTATTTGAGCTAGGAATTTTACTTGCAGGCTTTGATCCTACAGTTAAGAATAAGACATTAAATTTGTTGGCTGTGTCTATAGGCTGTATGTGAGGTACATCTGGTTTAGTTAAGTTTATCTCTCTGTTTCCAGATGGTTTCCTAGAGCCCAAAATTTTGTTGAGGGTTTGCCAGGTACTTTAGATATCACCTTTTATTTATTTATGTACATAATTTTGTATGCATTTAGTAGTATTATGCTAGCTGTACACACCAAACAGTATTTGTCTAGCTAAGTTTATCTTTGCTGCACTCTTCATCTTACCTTTTAACCCTTAAATGGTCGAAACGTATATATACGTTTTTTCAACATCTGAAAGTATGTAAAAAAATGTAGATCTTTTTTGTTTTACCTTTGAAAACATGTAAAAAAAAACTTTTATCTAAATTTTTTTTGTTATATTTGAAAATATGTAAAAAAAAGTAGATCTACTTTTGTAGCACTACGAATTTGAACGTCAATCTGTTTGGACTGTTTAAGGGTTAATTTTCACTCCACTGATTTCATCTGCCTCTGTTCTATGTGCTTTTGAAACCATGCATAGAATAAGCTTTTTTATCATTTTCTCATTCAGTCCACTTTTTTCTTTTCTAATGCTGCAAATAAGCTTTCTGCCATTTTTTCCCTTTTTTTTTCAACAAGTCGGCCGTCTCCCACCGAGGCAGGGTGACCCAAAAAAGAAAGAAAATCCCCAAAAAGAAAATACTTTCATCATCATTCAACACTTTCACCACACTCACACATTATCACTGCTTTTGCAGAGGTGCTCAGAATACAACAGTTTAGAAGCATGTACGTATAAAGATACACAACATATCCCTCCAAACTGCCAATATCCCAAACCCCTCCTTTAAAGTGCAGGCATTGTACTTCCCATTTCCAGGACTCAAGTCCTGGAAATAACCAGTTTCCCTGAATCCCTTCACTAAATATTACCCTGCTCACACTCCAACAGCTCATCAGGTCCCAAATACCATTTGTCTCCATTCACTCCTATCTAACACGCTCACGCACGCTTGCTGGAAGTCCAAGCCCCTCGCCCACAAAACCTCCTTTACCCCCTCCCTCCAACCTTTTCGAGGATGACCCCTACCCCGCCTTCTTTCCCCTACAGATTTATACGCTCTCCATGTCATTCTACTTTGATCTATTCTCTCTAAATGACCAAACCACCTCAACAACCTCTCTTCAGCCCTCTAATACTCTTATTAACTCCACACCTCTTAATTTCCACACTCTGAATTTTCTGCATAATATTCACACCACACATTGCCTTTAGACAGGACATCTCCACTGCGTCCAACCGCCTCCTCGCTGTTGCATTTACCACCCAAGCTTCACACCCATATAAGAGTGTTGGTACTACTATGCTTTCATACATTCCCTTCTTTGCCTCCATAGATAGCGTTTTTTGTCTCCACATATACCTCAAAGCACCACTCGCCTTTTTTCCTTCATCAATTCTATGATTAACCTCATCCTTCATAAATCCATCCGCTGGCACATCAACTCCCAAATATCTGAAAACATTCACTTCTTCCATACTCCTCATCCCCAATTTGATATCCAATTTTTCTTTATCTAAATCATTTGATACCCTCATCACCTTACTCTTTTCTATGTTCACTTTCAACTTTCTACCTTTACACACATTCCCAAACTCATCCACTAACCTTTGCAATTTTTCTTTAGAATCTCCCATAAGCACAGTATCATCAGCAAAATGTAACTGTGTCAATTCCCATTTTGTATTTGATTCCCCATAATTTAATCCCACCTCTCTCCTGAACACCCTAGCATTTACTTCTTTTACAACCCCATCTATAAATATATTAAACAACCATGGTGACATTACACATCCCTGTCTAAGACCTACTTTTACCAGGAAGTAGTCTCCCTCTCTTCTACACACCCTAACCTGAGCCTGGTGGCTAAAACTCCCGATTCACACACAGAGGGCCCGGGTTCGATTCCCGGCGGGTGGAAATTCCGACACGTTTCCTTACACCTATTGTCCTGTTCACCTAGCAGCAAATAGGTACCTGGGTGTTAGTTGACTGGTGTGGGTCGCATCCTGGGGGACAAGATTAAGGACCCCAATGGAAATAAGTTAGACAGTCCTCGATGATGCACTGACTTTCTTGGGTTATCCTGGGTGGCTATACCTCCGGGGTTAAAAATCCGAACGAAATCTTATCTTATCTTATCTTACCACCTATTCCATATACTACTTGTAACATCTGCCACATTGCTCCCCTATCCCTATCCCCTCTATTGCAAAAAATGCTTTCTGCCATCTTTTTTCTTCCTTCTATTGAAAAGTACTTTCTGCCATCTCTTTGATTCATTAGTGTGCTTTTCGTGCATCTCCTCATCCCAAGCCCTCCTGTTAATAACAGTCTATCTTTTACAAACTTGTCTATGTAACAGATTCTGTATCTCTTAATTATTTCTCCTCTAGATTTACATACCTCCAAATTTATGAGGTTTTGTTCTGACCATTTTTTCTTATGGCTTTTGTCTTAATTCCAGTACCAGCCTGGTAGTAAACCTCTGACCTTTTTCTAGCTGTTTTGTGCTTGGCTAGATGTGGAGTATTCAAACTGCTGCAAATTTAACCTTTGGTCTTGCATATGTGGTTAAAAGCAATTTGAAGGTATTTTTATTTAAGTTTCTAAAAGGTTATTCTTATATTTTTTGTAAAGTAAATATGTCAATGTCAGGGAGAAGAGTGAAGTTCACAAGAATAAATAAATAATATATAAGTGCTTGTAAAAAGGGACTAATAAAGCAGGAGAATATTAAATCATTCAAGTAGTACAGGATTGTTTCAATAATGCTGTCCACTGTCATTATCCTTTTCACTGTAAAATTAGTACATTGTTAAATTTAACAATTTCTTACCCTCTTTTCTGTCTCTGGAAAGTTTTACAGTATGCCACTGGTTAATTTGTAATGGCTGCCTGGAGCGTATAATTGCTGGCCCAGACCCAACATCAAAGCGAAACTCTGCATAACCTTCACTCATACCAAATGACACAAAATCTCCATCTTCACGGCCAGCACGTTGACTGTTGTATAAAATTAATCCTGCAAGTTATTAAAAAATATAATTATACACTGGTTTAAATTTTTATATATAAAAAGTATTATTAACTAATAACACACTGGCCGATTCCCACCAAGGCAGGGTGGCCCAAAAAAGAAAAACTTTCACCATCATTCACTCCATCACTGTCTTGCCAGAAGGGTGCTTTACACTACAGTTTTTAAACTGCAACATTAACACCCCTCCTTCAGAGTGCAGGCACTGTACTTCCCATCTCCAGGACTCAAGTCCGGCCTGCCGGTTTCCCTGAATCCCTTCATAAATGTTACTTTGCTCACACTCCAACAGCATGTCAAGTATTAAAAACCATTTGTCTCCATTCACTCCTATCAAACACGCTCACGCATGCCTGCTGGAAGTCCAAGCCCCTCGCACACAAAACCTCCTTTACCCCCTCCCTCCAACCTTTCCTAGGCCGACCCCTACCCCGCCTTCCTTCCACTACAGACTGATACACTCTTGAAGTCATTCTGTTTCGCTCCATTCTCTCTACATGTCCGAACCACCTCAACAACCCTTCCTCAGCCCTCTGGACAACAGTTTTGGTAATCCCGCACCTCCTCCTAACTTCCAAACTACGAATTCTTTGCATTATATTCACACCACACATTGCCCTCAGACATGACATCTCCACTGCCTCCAGCCTTTTCCTCGCTGCAACATTCATCACCCATGCTTCACACCCATATAAGAGCGTTGGTAAAACTATACTCTCATACATTCCCCTCTTTGCCTCCAAGGACAAAGTTCTTTGTCTCCACAGACTCCTAAGTGCACCACTCACCCTTTTCCCCTCATCAATTCTCTGATTCACCTCATCTTTCATAAACCCATCTGCAAATCAAATCAATTAGGTTACCTATATTTTTGTGCTAAACTGAACATTATAAAAAAAGACATTTCTAATGAAACTTATAAAATATATACACCATATACATTTTGATAAACAGTCATTTAAATTTTACTGCAATGATTTCTTCACTTGCATTCCTGCCCAAGCTAACTTTCTTCCAATTTATCTCTATTTCTTTTCAACACATCAGCTGCCTCCTACCGAGGCAGGGCAACTCAAAAAAGAAACACTTTCACCATCATTCAACACCTTCACCTTCATTCAGCACTTTCACCATCATTCACACACAATCACTGTCTTTGCAAAGGTGTCCAGATATGATAGCTCAGACGTCACTCCAAACATCTAATATCGCAAACCCCTCTTTTAACTCTTTTGGTGTCGGTCCCAATGTAATATGGCTTTGAAGCCAAGGTCGGTCCCGCAGTACTACACCATGAGCTCAGCTCACTCAGATAAGCTCACAGCTTATCTGAGTGTGCTAAGTATGCACCATATAAAAAAAAATCCTGCAGCATTATGTGCTGCAGGATTTTTGATAGAATAGAATATATATTACAGAATAGAATAGAATATATATTACAGAAATATAGATAATTTTGAATGGTTTCAGATCTGAAAGTAGCTTGAAATTGAGCTCAAATTAGCAGAAATGTTCAATTTCTGCCGATATTCTAGAGTACACAAATGATGTCACTTGTCCAATATGTGTCCAACTAGCCAGTTTAATATACATTTAGGAATGCACTGACATTATTTATATTTAATATACATTTAGGAATGCACTGACATTATTATAATAATGCAGTAATCTGCCTAACATTAAATCATCTATTATTTATGTGAATAAAAATTCAAATTGGAAAGCAAGTGTAATATAACAGAGGTCTGGAGACATGACTAAGGAATACAGGAAATATTTTTTTAGTCCCAGGAATGTCTATATTGTTTATTCTAGAACCAATTTTTAAATTGCCAATTTTTGAATTTTGTGTGAAACTGAACAAATTATCGATTTCTGATCACTTTATTGGTTAGTTGAAATAGGTAAATAGGCAGTTTCTTCTATTCAATTGATACAATGGAAGGAATACTAGCAAAATAGCTATGAGTTTAGTTGACTGGAACAATGGAATTGGCCAAAAATAGGCAAACAGTGGACAAAATCGCTGATGCCTAAATATCGTGAAGGCCATTAACTTTGTGAGAGCATAATTCCCTAAGTTTTCCATGAAATTTGTATTTTTGGTTTTATTACCTTCAAAAAAGGATTATCATTTCAATTTTTTTTTTTTAAATTCTTCAACCCTAAGAGCAAGTTTGAGATCAGGGGTTTCAACTCTGAAAGGGTTAAGTGCAGGCATTCTATACTACATAATACCATCAAAAGCCATATTATTAAGTATGCTTTATTTTACAATTTAGTTTCTGTTAAGCTACAGTATCAAGTTTCTTTATGTTTAGTATATTGTTCCTTAACTCTATCCTTTATTATCCTTAGTGCCTGATTTTGAAAAAAAATTATATTTTGATCTCAATCTACTGATGGGTATGTTTCTGTGACTATCTGAATTGATATGTAATGAGTGTAAGGAATAATGATGCATAAGTTGTATTACAAACCATTCTCTGATTCAGGCTTGAATGAAATTTCCAGGTTAAAAGAGAGATAAGCTCTTGGGAGTGTTGACAGCAACAAGTATGATGATCCTTCAAACCTACAGCAAGAAAGAAAGAATTAAATTTTTATCATCCTAGTTGTCATACAGCTTTTTGTGTATATTAGAAAAGTAAACCAGATAAATAAATATTTTGTAATTTTATAATTACAGTGGACTCTTGGTTTTCGTGAATTTTGGTTATCGGCAACTTTTTTCATCAAAATATAGCCTTGGTTTTCATGATTTTCCTTGGATTTCGGCCGTAGTACAGAACATGTCCCAGTGGCCCTGCGCACATAAAGCCTCCCACAGATGCATTCAGAGTCAGTCTGGCATTGTTTCTCGGCGAGTGAGTATAACCCCCCCGTGTTCATACGAAACATTTCGTAATAATCCATTGTTTTTTGTGTTTGCAACTGTTAAATAAGCCACCATGGGCCCAAAGAAAGCTCCTAGTGCCAGCCCTTTGGTTAAGAAGGTTGTGGAATGTAGTGCAGCATTGGGGAATTCCATGGGGTTGGATGTGAGTGGCCAGGATATGGAAGAAATAGCGGAGGACCACAGTGAAGAGCTAACCACTGAAGAGCTGCAAGAGCTTCATCTGCAACAGCAACAGACCACAGCTGAGGAAATTGCTTCACAGGAGGAGGAACAGAGAGGGAAGAAGGTGCCTTCTTCAAAGATTAAGGACATTTGTGCAAAGTGGAGTGAGGTGCAAACATTTGTGGAGGAACATCACCCTAACAAAGCTGTTGTAGGCTGTGTCTGCGATATGTTCAATGACAATGCCTTGTCCCATTTTAGGTAAATCTTAAAGAGATGCCAGAAACAGAGCTCTCTGGAACAATTTTTTGAGCAACAGGGGTCCAGTGACTCAAGCTGGTGCTAGTGCCATTAAAAACCAAGAAGGGAAGTAACCCTGGATAAGGACTCATTACCTAAAGTCTTTATGGAAGGGGACTCCACTTCCAAACAATAGTAACTTCTCCTCCCTCTCCCCCTCCTCCCATCTTCTATACACCAACAAGAGTCTTCAATAAAGGTAAGTGTGATGTTATTATTGCATTATATTGATTTGTCATTCTTCTCTGTATGTAAATCTATATTTAATCTCTAAAAAAAATTATTTTTGTTAAAACTTTTGGGGAAAATGGTTTCGGTTTTCGTGAACTTTGGTTTTCGGCAGGCTCTCTGGAATGGATTAATCACGAAAACCAAGGGTCCACTGTACATTAAATAACCAAATACTGTGCTAGATGAGCAACTTTAAGCATTACATAACACTATAAGCTGCTAGATACAGACATTTACTTGAAACAATTACCTGGGAACAATTCCTGTGACAAGAAGAAGTGTTGGAATGTCTACACTTCTCTCCTCATTACTACCCGTGCAGATATATAAACCTGCATCTTCTGTATGCACCTCAGGGATGTCTAGGACAGCCTTAAAAATAAAAGCAAAAGCAAATTAATACATAATTTGTGGGAGAACTATTGGCTGTTTTATGTAATTGTGTATGTACTGTAATTATCAATTAATAATTACCTATTTGAGTGTGGGAGTGAACTCCAGTTCTTAAGCCTGCCTCTTGCTTACAGTGACTACCATTAATTAGCATCATTATAATTGTTTGAACCACTGTGTTACTAACTAATTATTGGAATACTTATGGTAATCCATCTTCTGCTTACTTTATCATGTAACTAGTACAGAGGGATTGTCTGGTGCATTTTTCTGGCCAGGGAGTCAGAGTTTGGTTGTTCACTCTGTAGATTTCCCTGCTGCATTGTGTGAGGAAATAGCAAGAAGCAAGCTTATTTCTTGTACAGTATTTGATTTTTTTTTTTTCACAAGTCGGCCATCTCCCACCGAGGCAGGGTGACCCAAAAAGAAAGAAAATCCCCAAAAAGAAAATACTTTCATCATCATTCAACACTTTCACCTCACTCATACATAATCACTGTTTTTGTAGAGGTGCCCAGAACACAACAGTTTAGAAGCATATACGTATAAAGATACACAACATATCCCTCCAAACTGTCAATATCCCAAACCCCTCCTTTAAAGTGCAGATTATGCAGCAAAGTTCTGGTCTCCATATTACAGAATACACATAAATTTGTTAGAAAACATTCAGCGTAGAATGACTAAATTAATACATAGCATTAGAAATCTTCCTTATGAAGAAAGATTGAAGACCCTTAAATTACATTCACTTGTTAGATGAAGAATCAGGGGAGACATGATTGAAGTGTATAAGTGGAAGATGGGTATTAATAAAGGTGATATAGATAAGGTCTTGAGGATATCTCTCCAAGAGAGAACCTGCAGTAATGGATTCACATTAGACAAGTTTAGATTTAGAAAGGATATAGGAAAGTATTGGTTTGGAAATAGGGTAGTTGATGAGTGGAACAGTCTACCTAGTTGGGTTATTGAGGCTAAAACCTTGGGTAGTTTCAAATTTAGGTTGGAAAAATGCATGAGTGAGAGGGGTTGGATTTGAGTGGGGCTTGCATATGAGTGGATAGGGTTAACAGAGCTTATTTCTTGGGTGGCATTGAAAATTGGTTGGGCAAATGTTTTGTTAGTGGGATGGATTGTAAAGGACCTGCCTAGTATGGACCAACAGGCCTGATGCAGTGTTCCTCCTTTCTTATGTTCTTATGTTCATTGTACTTCTCATTTCCAGGACTCAAGTCCGGCTATATAAAAATAATCAGTTTCCCTGAATCCCTTCACTAAATATTACCCTGCTCACACTCCAACAGCTCGTAAGGTCCCAAATACCATTCGTCTCCATTCACTCCTATCTAACACGTTCACGCACGCTTGCTGGAAGTCCAAGCCCCTCGCCCACAAAACCTCCTTTACCCCCTCCCTCCAACGTTTTCGAGGATGACTCCTACCCCGCCTTCCTTCCCCTACAGATTTATACGCTCTCCATGTCATACTACTTTGATCCGTTCTCTCTAAATGACCAAACCACCTCAACAACCCCTCTTCAGCCCTCTGACTAATACTTTTATTAACTCCACACCTTCTGCTAATTTCCACACTCCGAATTTTCTGCATAATATTTACACCACACACTGCCCTTAGACAGGACATCTCCACTGCCTCCAACCACCTCCTCACTGCAGCATTTACAACCCAAGCTTCACACCCATGTAAGAGTGTTGGTACCACTATACTTTCATACATTCCCTTCTTTGCCTCCATAGATAACGTTTTTTTTATCTCCACATATACCTCAACACACCAATCGCCTTTTTTCCTTCATCATTTCTTTGATTAACCTCATCCTTCATAAATCGATCTGCTGACATGTCAACTGCGAAATAAATATATATACAGTGGACCCTCGAGTTTCGGCAGCATCAAGTTTCGTGAAATTCGAATTCAGCAAGTTTTTTTTGGAAAAATTTGGCCTCGAGTTTCGTGATTAAACTCGTGTTTCGGCGACCGTCCGGTACCCGTCCGCCCGTCACCGCGCACACCAAGCCAGTCTCCCACGCCATTCACGGTCAGTGTGCCATTGTTTACCAACACGTGACCATCACCCCGTGGGCTCATATGTAATAATCCATTGTTTTTTTGTGATTACAACTGCTCAATAAGTCACCATGGGCCCAAGGAAAGCTAGTGCAAGCCCTCTGGTAAAGAAAGTGAGGAACAAGATTGAATTCAAGAAGGAAATCATTGAAAAATATGAGAGTGGAGTGCGTGTTACAGAGCTTGCCAGGATGTATGGCAAACCCCATTCAACCATCACTTTGATCGTGGCAAAAGGAAAGGAAATAAAGTGTGCTGTTGTTGCAAATGGGGTGGATATGCTGACAAAAAGGAGATCACAAATCCTCGAAGAAGTGGAGAGGTTATTGTTGGTGTGGATTACCGAAAAACAGTTAACAGGAGATAGTGTTACGCAGTCGATAATATGTGAAAAGGCACGGCAGTTGCATGACGATCTCATAAAGAAAATACCTGCAACAAGTGGTGATGCTTGTGATTTTAAGGCCAGCAAAGGTTGGTTTGAGAGATTTAAGAAGCGTAGTGGCATTCACAGTGTGATAAGGCATGGCGAGGCTGCCAGTTCTGACAAACTTGCAGCTGAGAAGTTTGTACAGGAGTTCAAGGAGTGCATAGACACTGGAGAATTCAAACCCCAACAAGTGTTTAATTGTGACGAAACAGGCCTCTTCTGGAAGAAAATGCCAAAGAGGACCTACATCACGCAGGAGGAAGCGGCACTCCCAGGACACAAGCCTATGAAGAATAGGCTTACTCTCATGTTTTGTAGTAATGCTAGTGGGGATTTTAAAGTGAAGCCTTTACTGATGTATCACTCTGAAAATCCCAGAGTATTCAAGAAATACAGTGTCGCCAAGAGTAATTTGTGTGTGATGTGGAAGGCTAACAGTAAGGGATATTTTCCTAGACTGGTTTAATGAAGTGTTTGGCCCTAGTGTGAAGAAATACCTCCTGGAAAATAAACTGTCACTCAAGTGCCTCCTGGTAATGGACAATGCTCCTGCTCATCCTCCAGACTTGGAAGAGCAAATAGTGGAGGAGTTTAGTTTCATCGCTGTGAAGTTCTTTCCCCCTAACACAACTCCTCTCCTCCAGCCCATGGACCAGCAGGTCATTTCAAACTTCAAAAAACTCTACACAAAAGCAGTGTTTCAAAAGTGCTTTGAAGTGACCTCAGATACTGAATTGACCCTAAGAGAGTTCTGCAAAGATCACTTTAATATCCTCCATTGCATAAACCTTATAGATAAGTCTTGGGAGGGAGTGACTTCCAGGACTTTGAACTCTGCTTGGAGAAATTTGTGGCCAGATTGTGTAGAAGAGAGGGATTTTGAAGGGTTTGTGGCTGACCCTAAGGAGCCTATGCCAGTTGTGGAAACTATTGTGGCATTGGGGATGTCTCTGGGGTTGGAGGTGAGTGGTGAGGATGTGGAAGAGTTAGTGGAGGACCACAGGGAAGAGCTAACCACTGAAGAGCTGCAAGAGCTTCATCTGCAACAACAACAGATCACAGCTCAGGAAACTGCTGCAGAGGAGGAGGAAGAGAGATGGAGAAAGGTGCCTTCTTCAAAGATTAAGGACATTTGTGCAAAACCCACTTCAGACAAATCTTAAAGAAATGCCAGAAACAGACCTCTCTGGACAGATATTTTGTTCGACAGGGGTCCAGTGACTCTCAAGTTGTTCCCAGTGGCATTAAAAGAAGAAGGGAAGTAACCCCAGATAAGGACTTCATACCTGAAGTCCTAATGGAAGGAGATTCTCCTTCCAAAAAATAGTGTACACCTTCCTCCTATCCCCTCCTCCCGTCTTCCATCCACGAAGAAGTCTTCAGTAAAGGTAAGTGTAATGTTATTATTATATTTTTAAATGCATGTACTTGATTTCTGATTGTTTTCATTATGTAAATCTTTATTTAATTTGAAAAAAATATTTTATTTTAATGTTTCTGGGTGTCTGGAACGGATTAATTTTATTTCCACTATTTCTTATGGGGAAAATGGTTTCAAGTTTCGTGAATTTTGACTTTCGGCAGGCTCTCTGGAACGGATTAATCACGAAACTCGGGGGTCCACTGTATATACACACACACACACACACAGTAGGGGCCCCGCTTTACGGCATACCGCTAATACGGACATTTCAAATTATGACAAAAACTTGCTATACGGCTCCCCCACCTGACTTTCTAATATGGTCACCACGCCCCACCCAACTTGTTTACATTTTCCGTGAGCTCCGTAAGCACCAGGTCTCTCATTATGTCTGGAAACTCCAGAATTTCAAGTGTTTTTAAAAGTTATTTCAAGTTTTATATATACTCTGATAATTAAACTTATGTATACCTGTACATAAATAAACTTACACAATGTGCTGGCATGCAGGTACACATTAAAATCAGTATGAGTGTCTTATGTCTCAAGACATCACATTAGTAATAATAATAATAATCACCGAATCTCATTAAATATTGTTTATTTTGTTAATATACACATTTTTATTAATACATCTATGATAATTTTTTCAAAATTATATAATAAACACAATACATAACATATAAAGATTATAAATACACCCCACAGTAGAATAAACAAACATAAATATGAGATGTGGTAGCCAGACAACTTGTACAAGTGACGGCAAGAATAACGTTTTCCCTAGTCCAACATAAGAGAAAATGTGTTACTGGGCTTAACTGTAGAAAATTATTCCTTTCGTATGCCTTCACTCAGATCGTCATTTCTTCTAAAAAATGGTGCTACATGAGAATGGGAGTGTTCCTCTTTATTTATTCTACTGTATCAACATAGAGACAACTTGTACACAAACCAGACATGTACACTTGGTTTGTTTACATAACTCACATTTGCCTGGTTTGTTTACATAACTCCACGAGTGTCCTCTCTCAT